ACGCCAGGGGGGTGGGGCTGCGGGGCGACGGGATCTGTACGCGTGCATCAAGGACGCGCGAGTAGGGTGCAACGGCCGTGGATGGCCATGCCGACACTTTGTGGGCGGGGCGCGGCCAGCGAAACCGGCCAAGGATGGGCCGAAGGGGAGGGATGCAAGTGCAACCTTGGAAAGTCACTCATCCTTTCTATACGGGTTGACCGAAGATATCCACTGCTCCGAAGCAGGTCCATCCCAGCAGCTGCGCATACGCCCAGGAGGGCGTGTGCGCTGCTCCTGGGCCCGGGACGGGCCTGGGCAGGGGCGGTGGATATGTAACGATCTCGTCGCCCCAGCCTGTCTCAGGAGAGGAGGCATCGACCTGGAATCGGCGATACATCGCCACTGGATCGGCGATAGTCCCCCCGATGCCGAGACTGCACGGTCCTGGGCGGGGTAGGGGATCAGACCCCTACAGGCGATAGATGGGCGATTGGGGGTCGATGCATCCCCCCCTGGGGGGAGGGGGGCACCGCAGCGCAGCACCACGCCACGCCCACAGGGGGGGGCGGGGGGGACCATCGCGCGGGGGGGGGCGGGGGGCCCAATGGCATCAGCATCGGGGGGAGGGGGGGGGGGGCCCAAGCCCTGGACCATAGATGGGCGATTGGGGGTCGATGCATCCCCCCCCTGGGCCTGCTTCTCTTCACGTCGGTCATCCCTTTCGCGACGCGGAGCGGCCGGCGATCTAGAACAGGATTCAGTGATTCAGAGATCGCGCCCTTTCAATCGCAAAGTGTGAATTTCATGGCCATAGCGAGCCACTGACATCCATCCATTTCCTCCTCCTCCTGCTCCGCCGCCGCCCTCCCTCCTCCGCCTCCTCCTCCTCCTCCTCCTCCTCCCTCCTCCTCCTCCTCCTCTCCTCCTCCTCCTCCTCCTCCTCCTCCTCCGCCTCCTCCGCCTCCTCCTCCTCCTCCATTTGCTTCTCCTTCTCATCCTCATCCATTTCCTCCCAACCCTCGGCATGCCTGCAAAGTGAAAGCTGGATCCCAACTCCAAGCGACTGGTTCGCGTCGAGCAAGACCAGCACAACATGAGGCTGGCTTAAGCCAAAGACCATGCACTCGTCCATTGCCAGGAGGCGGGAGATCTCCCAAAAAAGGAGGCAACACAGAAAGGTGCAAGGGGAACGAGAAACTCGGGATCTGCTAGACTTTACCCGAACTTCGAATACAACACAGCATCCATGCGCGCCGTCGCGATGACCCCGATTGCTTCGCAGCGCGAGAGGTCTGCACCACAAACGCTCCGTGTCTGTCTGATCAAAGGCATACTGATGGACACGCTCCCCGCCACGGGGTACATGATGATTCCCTTTTATCCCACCAGCCCTCTGGGCGTGGGCTTAGGGATGCTCCTCTTCCTTCGCACCCTTCGGGGAAGTATGTTATGACTACTCCTTATTAGTGAGCACCTCCTCTCTCACTCGACCAGACTGCCGGCCAGGAACAACGAGGCCCTCCGGGCCATTCCTTCAAGAACGCAGAGTTCGCCGGCCCAACGGGCCACGGGCGTGCTAAGATCCCTGGTAACTGGTTAACAATATTTCTAGTTCGCGCACGCGGGGCCGCCCCTAGGGGTACGAAAAGTACCCCCGCAAATCCTGGCAAGGTCTCGGCAAAATCCTGGGTAAGTCCCGGGCAGGTCCCGGGCAGGTCCGAGGAGGCTCCCATAACCCTTCAAGCGGCCTCCAAGAGAGCTCAACATGGTCCGAGACGGTCCAAGAGCGATCCGAGACGCTAAAGATTGCCTCCAGAGAGCCCAAAGCGCCTTCAAGACGCCCCGAGAGTCCTCCAAGAGACCTCCCAAGAGGGCCCAGAGAGGCATAAATTAGTGATTCTGCTTTATTTTCTGACGGTTTTTGGCGTTCTCGCCTTTTCGGCTTACCGGCGCTCCAAGACGGCTCAGGAGGCTTCCAAGACCGCCCCAAGACGGCCCAAGATGGCTTCAAGACAGCTCAAGAGGCGTCCAAGACGGCCCAAGAGAGCACCAAAACGGCCCCAAGAGGGGCCCAAGAAGGGGACCAGGACAGAAAAAAAGTACAGCCTTCAGCCCAAGAGGACCCCAGCAGACCCCAAGAGGCCCCCAAGAGGCCCCAAGGGGCCCCCAAGAGGCACCCCAATAAGCCCCAAGAGGCCCCCAAGAGGCCCCAGGAAGCCCCAACACGGCCCCCAAGAGGCATCAAAAATGCCTCCCAAAAGCCCTTGAGAGGCCGACCACGAGCGCCCAACCAACATCCGTGAGGCCTCTGAACCGTCACCCACCGCCTCCGAAAAATGGCAGCCGCCCAACCGCACAGCATTGACAACAACACCCCGACAAACGACAGCGGCGAGGCAATATGGGCCAGCGGAATGAGCGAAGCGATTAAATAAAGAGCGTGCACCCCACCACGTGGTCACTTCGGCTTTTGACAAGGGATCATATATCATGTGTACACTGTGTGCTGGCCTACTGCCCGCATCAAAGGCCAAAGCAAGCTCATTCAAGCTGTACACGTCATATACCACGCAGTCCACCCCGCCGCCACTTCGCATGGTTCTTCAACGGAATGACGGGGAGGAGCTGCCGACATATTACCCGATATGTCTATCACGTCGGCTGGCGCTCTTGACGCTGTCTCGACTGCCTCGGTGTCCGCTAGGCCGCCATCTGGTCCTTTTGAAAAAGAGAACACATGCGCCCTTTTAGGCTCATACCAAAACTCTCTTTGGGGCGTGTTGGGCTGCCTAAAACAAACCACTATCTCGGATCCGTCATGTACTATATCGGAGCCGCCTTGAATCGTCTTGAGACTGTTCTGGGGCTCTCGTAGAGAGGCTTGAACAATCCTGCACTCTCCCCCGGGCAGACATGAGGCACTTTATCACACACATTCCAAACTGACATCGCGCAACAAACGTGATGCAACGCAAACGTGCGATGGATTCTCAGCCGGTAACGGTTCTCCTACTATACCAAAGGGGGACGGAATTCGAGCGGCCCGCGAGATCATCCCAAACAAACGATCCAAGTGGACATAACCTGACTCGACGATTGATATTTGAGTCAGCTCTGGCGACGTGTCGGGCGTCAGCTGCATTGCTGAGTCGATTTGGAAGCGATGCCGAGGAACAGAAATATCTTGCACAATCTCTCACAAGTGGCCGAATCCAATCGGCGATCGACAGGATCATGACAATAACTTTCTTGCTTGTTGGCAACATGCTTTGGCACGATCAACCATCTGAGACGACGTCGCGAATGTCGCGGAAAGCCGTCTCGAGGGAGCTGTTTGAGTCTCCGGCATCGCGTTGTGAAGGCAACTGTGCTTGGACAAGGTGTGCAATGCTTGCACCAACACGCAGAAACACACTTCACAATGTTGGCTGGTTCTCCTTGCGTCAATGGTTTACAAAAAACAGGAAGCGGCAGCGAAAGGGCGAGGATCGTGAGGATCTAGAAGATCGCTGATGAAGAAATATGTACAATTCTTATGTTCGTGATCACGAACGTGATCCCGATTTCTGCGCTCTCCGGTATCTTTGCCACGGAGAGCCGCAACAACACCAAAAATGATTCCTCGGCCGTGACACGGGTGCTGGCAAGAATCTGACACCCGTTTGCGCACTCCCCAGCCTACGCCATCCCTCCTGCTTCTTCTCTCCTGCACCCTCCTCCTCTCATTCACCTCGCTCTCCTCTTCGATCCCCCTGCGGCCACTACAGCGCTGCCCTCTTAGACCCTGCGGCCCTTTCACGCTGGCTCCTCGCCCCTGCACCCCTTGTGGAAGTTCCTGCAGCAATAGTTGATCTTCGGGGGGGACCACGACAGCTCCAGGCAGTGCATGCAGTGGTGGTATCCCGCGTCGCAGTCGTAGACGCTCGTGTCGGGCGCGGGCGGCAGGCCCGATGGCGGCGCGCCCGACGGGGGCGGCAGCTCCGAGGGACAGCCTCTGTTCGCCGTCTTGCAGCAATACAGCTTCTTCTGGCCGGACCACCCGCGCACCCACTGCAGCGGGTCAAGGTCATTGTAGCCGGCGTTGCAGTCGATGGGGCAGGGCGAGGTGGACGTGGTCGGGCACCCCTTGTTCTCCATCAGGCAGCACTGCACCTTCTTGGCCACGTCCCAAGACTCCGGGGCACCCTCGGCACAATTGATCCTCTTCTGGGTGGTCGTCGGCGGCGGAGGCGGGGGCGGCGGGGGCGGGGGCGGCGGGGGCAGCGGCGGCGGAGGCGGTGGCGGCGGCCTGGTCGTCGTCGTCTTCTCGGTCGTCGTCGTCGGCGCATCTGGCGGAGGGGTCGGTCGGTCGAGCAACGGCGGGAAGGTCGTCCTCACAGTCGTCGTGGTCGTGGTCGTGGTGCTTCCCGGGGCGAGGGAGAACAAGAGCAGCGGGAGCAGCAGCAGGGGAACCAGCAGCAACGGGACCACCACGCAGCAGCAATTGGGCCCCGCGCGGGGGATGCGGAGGACGCCGAACTCGCCGGCGCCGGCCCCCACGTACCTGTAGGTCGTCTCCTGGACGTAATCGCCCCCGGGCCCCACGTACGACAGGATTGTCCCGCCGCCACCGCCGCAGGCGTCGCCGGCGGCACCGCCTGGGCCAGCACCGCAGCAAGAGACGGCGGTGGCCGTGCAGCAATCCGCCTGCCCGTGCCCTGCGCCGTGGCCGAGCGCACCGCCGCCCGCGTACCCGGCGCCGTAGCCGAGCGGGCCGCCGTGCGCGCCGCTGCCGGCGCCGAGCGTGCCGAGCGCGCCACCGCCGCTGCCGTACGCGCCACCGCCGTAGGCGCCGCCGCCATAGGCGCCGTGGGCGCCAAGCGCGCCGCCGCCGCCATAGCCTGAGCCGAAGGCTCCGCCGTAGCGCATGGTTTTGAGACGGGGGCGCCACGGGCAACCGTGTCTGGGCCGCGAGGTCACCAGGGGGGATCGCTCGAGTCAAAATGGCTGCCGAAGTACGAGCAGGCACCTCTTGGCTGGACCCCACCAATCCCTTGGGCGTAGGTGGTGTGTGGAGCTAGTTCTTCCGACCTCCGTTTCCCCCGTCGGGGAGAGAATTACCTCTCCCCCGACCCTCTCTCCCTGGGTCTGGATGGGGTGGGGCGCATTGCGAGGGGCTACGCAGAGCGTCGAAGATGGCCCAAGATGAGCCCCAATACAGCACGATACAGCCGAAGATGGCTTCCAATATGCCTCCAAGAGGCGCCACGACCGCCCCAAGATGGCTCTCGGTGGCCACGGAGCCTTCCCAGGACCCCCCCGAGATGTCCAAGTCCGACCAAAACCTGAGGGAAATCACTGTGTTGTGTCGTCTCGCCTTTTCACTTCCAATGGGCTCTTGAGGCCTCAAAACGGCTCCTAGACTGCCCAAGAGAGCCCTACCCGAGGAGGCTTTTCAAGGGGGCCCGCTTCAGCCCGAAGAGGGCTCCAGATGGATCCAAGATCGCCCAAAAGAGCGCCAAGGGGTGCCCCAAGACGGGGCCCAAGAGGCACGATAGTCAGAGGAGGCTTCCATAGGGGGCCCGATTCAGCCCGCACAAGGCCGCTCAGACCGAGAGGCGACGGCCCCAAGACGGCCCGAGAAAGGCCCAAGATGACCTACACTCTCGCAAGCAGCCCAGGGAGTACCAGGACAGCCGCAGTGCGCAACATACAGCCCCAGGACAGTCCATGATGGCACCATGAGCCCCATGGGGTCCCGAAGAGGCTCCCGAGTGGGCCCTCAATGTGCCGCAGCACGTCCTCAAGAGGCGACGAAACATACGTATCAGGCATGCGACGATACAGCGTTGCTGTGCTGTTTGCCGAAGGGCGGCAATTGACATACGCAGCAATCCAAAGTGATACTCCAGTTTGAGTTGAAGAGCTGAGCGAAGAAAGCGAGGTGCAGGAGAGACTCAATCCAACCTGGGCATACAATACAAAGCATCAGTGCATACATTCATCGCATACGCTGCGACGGCAAGCTTTTCAGGTACCTTGGTGGCACTTGCGCTAAATATTATCTACTGGGGTCAGGCCCCCTACGATACGCATGCATACCAAACTGATCAACCCATTGGACGTGGAAGGGTAGCACTCTGACAGAGACAGGTCACGCAACATTTTTCCCTCGGCGCTCGCTTGGCACGCTCGTGGCTGACGGAGACTTCTCGGCCAGCCGAAACCAAGGAAAGACAATGGCAAGACAGACAACGCTGTGAAGACATATAATTCAGCAGTAACAGATGCGGGCTATGCATCGAAGTGGGCACATCATAGGAGGGCATACACGAAGGGCTGAACTCAAACTCCATAACGACTGGGTAAAACATGGATGGAAGGACAATTCAGAGGATGTGACAGCCTTTCTGGAAGCACGCGACAACGACACTAAAACATGAACGACGACAATTGCCCGCTGGCCCCCCCCCTTCTGGGGGGCACGAAGCTGTGAGGTTGCTGATTGACTGATGGCTTGTGCATCTTGCAATCCGAGGAAGAAACGGTGGCGTGAGCATACTCCAGATTTCGTAATAAAAGGGAGGGGGTCTGGACCCTCCAAGACAAGCCATTTCAGACCTCCCCCGTGGGAGAGCCCTCGAAAACATCGTCCCCAGACCCCCCAGGCCCTCCAAGATAGCCTGGAAGAGACCCCCCCCGAAATGAGACCCCCTCTCTTTTATGACGAAAGCTGGAGTAACCTTTCGGACGTCCGCGCGGAGTTCTCGAGGCGGCGCTGGGCCCCCCTCCCTGGCGCGCGGAGCGCGCCAGCGGCGGCGCCGGAGGCCCAGCGCAGATCCACGACACCTGAGCGGAGCTCCGAGCGTTCGTGTTCGTGCACTTCTTTCGGGCTGGGCGAAAGCGAACGGCGCAAGAGGAGGAGGAGGACGAGGAGGAGGAGGAGGAGGAGGAGGGGGGAGGAGGAGGAGGAGGAGGATGAGGAGGAGGAGGAGGAGGAGGAGGAGGAGGGCGCCTGCGTGCCGGGCGGTGCCACGCAGGAGTGTACTCCAGATTTCGTAATAAAGGGAGGGGGTCTCATTTCGGGGGGGTCTCTTCCAGGCTATCTTGGAGGGCCTGGGGGGGTCTGGGGACGATGTTTTGGAGGGTTCTCCCACGGGGGAGCTCTGAAATGGCTTGTCTTGGAGGGTCCAGACCCCCTCCCTTTTATTACGAAATCTGGAGCAGCTGATTTTCCCGGTGCCTCCCGGCGCCGGAGGCGGCAACGTATCGAGGAATGGGCCCCTCGGTGGGGCCGAAACCAGCCACAGTCGGACTCGATTGGAGAGGACACGCGAGAGGACACAAGACCTTCCGAGGGCCACGTTGCCGCAGAAATGCAGGAGGCATGGGTCGCAAGACACAGGACACGAGGGTGCCATTGATCTGGCAAGGTCGACCTGCTGATCCGGGCCGCCTGCACGTGCAGCAACTTTCGTACCCCCCCCCCCCCTTGTCCTATCCCCCCCCTTTCGCCTGGCCGACTCTCTCCTCCTCGAGCCGCGTCGCCGGCCGCACGCCTGTGCAGTCCTGCCTCCTCCTCCTCCTCCTCCTCCTCCTCCTCCTCCTCCTCCCTTCGTGGACCCCCCGAGACGAGAAGGAGGAGGAGCTTGAGCCTCCTCCTCCTCCTCCTCCTCCTCCTGCCGCCTCCTCCTGCCTCCTCTGAGCTGCCTCCTCCGAGCTGTCCACCGCGGGGCCCGCGCCGCCCCGCAGAAGGTGCGCCCGGGGGGGCACGCGGGCGGCGGAGCCCGCGGGCCGCCCCGCGGACGCTGCCAGAGGGCTACGTTCTGGGCCCGGGCCCTCCCCGAGGGCCCCAGGCGGCCCAGGACGGCCCAAAGGGGGCGCCAGGACGCGGCTGGAGGGCCAAGGAGGAGGAGGAGGAGGAGGAGGAGGAGGAGGAGGAGGAGGAGGAGGAGGAGGAGGAGGAGGAATTCTGGGCCCAGGCCCTCCCGGAAGGCCCCAGGAGGCCCTGCAGGAGCCCAGGACGGCCCAAGGGGGTGCCAGGACGCCATCACAACGCGAGGGCCCACATTATATCCAGCAAGACGGCCCCGAGCAGCGTCCGAGAGGGCTCTACACACATGCATCGACAGGAGCAGCATCATGTGTTTTCATTGCAGCATGCATGTTGCTAGCAAGGCAGCCCCCACCCTACCACGGCCCTCAGCGTCATAGCAACGTGGTTGCAAGATTGTTTAAGATTTCCCCAAGGTGACCCTAAGATCTGTCAAGATCGCCCACTATTGCTTCGCAGAGCTCAAGATGGCCCCAATGTGCTCTGGCCTCCATGGGCTCCAAGGTGCCTCTCATAACGTCAAAAAGGGCTCAAGGTTGTCTCAGGATGGCCCCAGTATGCTCCAAGCGGCCAAGATGGCCCCAAGACGGCCCAAATAGAACGAGCCCCCAGAAAGCCAGGCCACGGGGGGTGCTCCTGGGGGGGTCATTGACACAGCCGTCGTAAGGACGAAACGCTATCAGCAACAAGACTATGCCATACTATGTGCAACGGTATGAGAACTGGTAGCACTCCGCCGATAACTGTTGCGAGGTGTCTTGCGACGAGACATATCCAGGGCGACCTGATACTGCTACGCGCATTGAACAGAACAACCCGTAACAATCGTAAGTGTGAGACCACCGTCCTGGATTGATGAAACCTTCGGTTTGCGGTTGGCGTCGGATTGTATTCGCGATAACGCTGTATACAGAACTGCGAATACATATGTGTGTAAGAATGAGTCATGTATGACTGTTGTGTACACCTCGATATCCATCCATCTATACTGGTATCATCCGCTATCCGCACATCAAACGGCCTCACTATGTATTGGTATCGCTGTCTGTATATGTGTTGACTGTACTGCCAACATACAGATATGTCTCACAATACATGTACCAATGCCACTGTACACACATACATATACATATACCAGAACCATCGCGCGCGCTTCGCGCGCGCTCAGGTTCTAGCAGGCCCCAGGCCTTGACGAATTCACTGCTCCACTGAAGTAGTTGACCACAATCCACACATACCAATCTGCATTCCGAAAGGCCTTCGAGGAAAATGGTTGTGTAAGGGGGCGGAAACCGTACGAATCGGGTTCCCAGAAGGCCTTCTGGGAGTATGGGTTTGGGGCGTCTTGGGGAGCCTGTTAGGGCGTGCCGTCGTCGTCGTCGTCGTCGTCGTCGTGTTACTACGACCCATTCCCGAACCTGACCTTGGGGGGGGCCTAACCTGGCGCAACTCCGATTGGCAACAGACCCGACACGTTCCGTCAAAACCGAACGCCAGGTTCGCACTCCCCCAGCACGAAGGGACGGCAGCTGCGGTCGCCAGTTGTCTCGCGCCGAGTCCGTACGTTTTACTACGGGGACGGGCTGATTTTTGCCTCTTGAAGGCCCTCTCGGGGCCCTCTTCGGCCATCTTCAAGCCATCTCGGGCCTCGCTGAGGCTGTCCTGGGGCTCCTGGAAAGGCTTCTGGGAACATGATTTCGAACGGGGCCCTCTTGAGCCTCCCTGAGGCCGTCTTGGGGGCCTCCTGGGCCGGCTTCGGGGCCTCTTGGGCCGTCTCGGGGGGGTCCGTGAGCCCCACAGGCCGACCCTTTTGGGCCGTCTGGGGCCCTCTTAGGTCTCTCTTGGCCTGTGTTGGGGCCCCGCGGGGGCGTCTGGGGCACTGTGAAGACGAAGCCAGCGAGTATGCTGAACATGTACGTTTTACTAAGGAAATGGGCCGATGTTTGCCTCTTGAAGGCCCTCTCGGGGCCCTCTTCGGCCATCTTCAAGCCATCTCGGGCCCTCTGGAGCCTCGCTGAGGCTGTCCTGGGGCCCAGTAGGGAGCCCTGGGAGCCCGGAAGTCATGTTCCCGGAGAGGCTTCGGGGAACACGATTTCGAACGGTGCCCTCTTGGGCCTCCCTGAGGCCGTCTTGGGGGCCTCCTGGGCCGGCTTTGAGGCCTCTTGGGCCGTCTCGGGGGGTTCCGTGAGCCCCATAGGACGACCC